TCATAGATGGTTGGGAGTGGAAGTCACCCTGGAGACGACCTACCTGACCACTTCCCTACTTTCAATTTCCCAAAAACAAAAACCTGAGGACTTGCCTTTGAGAAATAGTTCTCAACTGAGGAAGATTCGGGATCCCCTGGTTAAAACACAGCTCTCTAGATCCACAACAGAGCATCTAATTCAATAGGTCAGGGAGGGGGCCCCAAATTTGCATTTCTGGTGAGATCCCAGGGGGTGCTGCTGCTGCTAGTCCTGGGCCCTCACCATGAGAACGACTGTGTGGCAGAGACTTGGGCATCAGACCCATGGCAGTGCCATCACTTGAACGTTCTCAGTAAAGCCTGGACAAATGCGCTCCCAGTAGGGTCATTCTTGTCTGAGTCACTTGTTCTTAAATAACTCTCTCTTCGGCTCCCAGCAACAGAAACAGAATGTGATGGGCAGAATTCTAAAAATGCCCTCCTCCAAAAAAAGATCCCACATTTCTTATTCCTCTAGAACCTGTGAATGTGATAAGAATATCATTCCTGTGATTGTGTTGTTTTTTGGCACAGTTGATCTAAAAAAGGGATTATCTTGGTGGGTATATTTCAATCATACAGGTACTTGAAAGCATAGCTGTTTCTGTGGCTGTTCCAGCAGAAAAACAAGGCAGGAGGAGAAGCCAAAAGTCAAGGGAAAGCCAAAAGTCAATGGGAAGTCAAGGTGACCTGAATTTGGAGAACTGCTCCAAGCGCCGTAGCCATTTTGACGATGGGGAGGGCCACAGGAGGAGGAAAGTGGGTGACGGCTGGAAGCAGAAGTGACCTCTGCCAAGAAAAGGGGCCTCCATCCTGGGTATGCACAGGGCTGGCTTTGCCAACTGTCGGAACAAGCTTAGAAATGGAGTCTTCCCCAGAACCTCCGGCTAAGACAGATGTCTGATCTACGGAACCGTGAGCTACTGAATGAGGCCCATCATAGCCTCTGTTCATGGTTACACCCCAATAGAAATCGAACACACAAGCACTGAAATTCTCGAGTTTGGAAGGGGGCTACTGCCCAGGCAGACCCACCCCCGCCCGAAGAGCCTCAGACGACCAGCTGGGCCCCTGGGAGGCTCACCTTGTTGTTTGCTGAGAATGTTAGTGAGTATGACCTAAATTCCAACTCCATCAAGGTAACATTCAGTGAAAAGAAAGAAAGAAAGGAAGGAAGGAAGGAAGGAAGGAAGGAAGGAAGGAAGGAAGGAAGGAAGGAAGGAAGGAAGAAAGGAAGGAAGGAAGGAAGGAAGAAAGGAAGGAAGGAAGGAAGAAAGGAAGAAATTTAAAGGTTGTGTGAGAGAACACCTTGAGAACCGCCAGCCCCCGCGGCCAGGCTGAGGCAGACAGGCTGGCTCAGACACAGACAGATCACCTGTCAGCTAGCGTGTGCCCTTCATGGAAGAGCAGTTTAAAAACAGTTTAGCAAAACAGATTGTCCTCCTGCACTGCTACTCAGTCACATAACATCCTTTCCTGTTGCAGAGATTAATCATCTGTGGAGCTGAGGCCCTCGCCCGCACCGGGGTATGGGGAAGCTCAAACAAGTGGCTGAGACAGATGTGCGGGGTCAACACAGCAACGATTCCTGCACCCGCCCCCCAGTATTCTTGGGATTCTTGTAACAAAGTAAAATGCCTGGGGACAGTTTGGGCTTTCCACATGACCGTACTATAGCTATGATAGTGTAGTTATGGTTCAACTATGACATCTTTTTATTGGAAAAGGTAAATGGAACCATCTGCCACCATAGTCAGACACAATTCAAGGAAATGGAACAGGTTAGCAGTGCGTAGTCCCTGCTATTGAGATTTCCCCCAGACACCTCCCTCCGACTGACTAAGAGACATCCAACAGTCTTTGAAGTTCAGGTTCATCTCTCAGGGTTGAGGTTCCACATCTGTCCCATCCAGGGCCCTTACTATATGCACTGATCCTCTTGCCACACATCTGTAGGGGTGCAGCTGAGTAGCATATGTGGCCTTGCTCATGTTCCCTGCAAGTCTGTGACCTTGGCCCTCTGATGGCACAGAGCTAGACAGGGCATGGCCTTCGAACCCTAGCCACCTCTCTCCATGACAGCTGCCTGCTTCTGCTGCTTTAGCCCTAGTGACCAGCCATGTCACAGAGGAAACACCTGCCACCAGGACCAGTCCAGCTCCTGGGTGTCCAAGATGAGTCAGGAGCTGTGCACTCTGACTCTGTTTTCCTCTCACAGTAACTGGGTTCAGAGGCGAATCCAAGAACCAGTTTCCTTGACCCGATCATTCCCTTCAGACCACTCCTGCTTCTGTTGATTTTCAGTGGTAGCGGCTGGTGCTGGGGTTCTGCTGTGCAGCAGAGCATCCAGCCTCCTTCCTGCTTCTTTGTTCTTCTCCCCCAGCCCCCTGGACTGAGCCTCCCCCGCCCACAGTGTGCTAGGGATAAGGGAAGCCAGTGTCATTTCCATCCAAATGTATGGGAAGAAATTCTTTTTGAATTTTGGAAATCTCGAAGGGTTTTGAGCTACATAGTTGAAAACAAAATTACCAGATGGCTGTTTTTATATGTTGTCCAAGCTCATGGCTTTGTTTTATTTTCCTTTTTATATACTTTGAGTGGTTGAAATATTTGCTACTTTTTTTGTTACTAGAGACATGGTGGTATTTCATCTGTGGCCAAGTCAAGTGAATATGGCCCACACTGCTGTGGGAATAGATTCTCCTGCAGGATCACGGTCTGTGCAGCTAGATTTTTGAAAGATAAATTTGTCACTTCACCAAACTTTTAAAAAAGTCATTTGATCACACACACACACGACTTCCACAAAGCAATTTACTTTCCACCATGACATATTCAGTCAACTGTTTTGTTAACAAACATCTGACCGTGCTAGTTTCATTTCCTGAGTTCTCTGATAAGCTCAGAAAACTGTTTTTGTGGTTTTAGTGTCACTTTTCATTCATCTCTTTGAACTGTAATCATTTCAAAAATTACAGTTTTTAACTGGGAATGTGGATTGGTGGCTTAAACAGGAAGTTTGGTGTCTAAGTCTGAAAATATACAAGAAACTTGGGAAAATTCGAACTTGACATGACTGATGACTGTGACAGAGTGTTGCCCCCTGGGGTCCCATCAAGAACTTGCTAGTGAGTAAGAGTGAGTTTTCCAACCAGCCACGAGTGAAGGAGGGCACAACGCGGTTGATCTAAAACCTAGGGGCTCCTTTGGATGTCCAGTGGACAAAAACTCAAGCAGAATTACGGACCAAAGAGTGACAAGTCAAAATTCCTCCATGGGAGATTGTATTTTCTAGAGAGCAGCAATAATATCTCCTATCTCACATGTTCTTCTGCACAGTGACCTTGACATTCTTCCCACAGAGAGGAGGAATCTAATTTCCTTCCTTTTGTATCTGGGTCGGCTCAGTGACTTGCTTGAGCGATAGACTGAAATGGGGTAACCCACACTGACTGAAACATACTCCGTCCTTGGTGGTCAAGGACACATCTGGGGAGATACCTGAGCGGGTCCTCTGCTTGGCTTCCCATCTGGTTGGCAGTGAAGTTGGAGATTATGTGCTTTGTCCTACAGCAGGAAGAGGAATTTTTGTGCAGAAAAAAATTTCCCTGGTCTCCCAGGTGCATTGGGATTAACTTAGAGCAGGGTTTCCAAAGATTCCCAATTATAAGAGGTACCTGGGACACTTATTCTCCCTTAGAAATTTTTGGTTCTGCTTTTCTCAATTGGCAGCTTAGATTTTGCCTTTAAAGAAAGTGGCCTGGGTAATTTTTATCATCAGGGAAGTATGGGAAGCCCTGACTTAGGGCAAAAGGGCAGCTCTTTTCCTCCTGCTCAATGTTGCATAAAAAGAGCTGATACAATATTCAACTACTGACCAGAGACATCTGTTTGTATAAGATCTGTCTAGGAAAGGAAGAAGGCTACAGCTACTATTCTGTGCAGGAGGAAATTCATGGGATTACTTTGAAGAGGTTCTGTAGTAATGAATGACAGATAATGTCATTGAAGATGAAGCTTTCTGCGCTGGCTGGTGTGGCTCAGTGGACTGAGCACTGGCCTGTGAACCAAAGGGCCGCAGATTCAATTCCCAGTCAGGGCACATGCCTGGGTTGCAGGCCAGGTCCCTAATAGGGGATAGTACATGAGGGGTAACCACACATTGATGTTTCTCTTCCTCTCTTCCTCCCTTCCCTCGGTCTAAAAATAAATAACATCTCTTTAAAAAAAAAAGATGGAGCTTCCTTCTCTAAATCAGCTTGGGTTTGACCACAAAACACAGCAGGCTTGAAAATGCACCTGTTTACTTCACCTTGGAGACCAGGGACTGTGCTGCCACCTTGGAGGGAGAATCTGAAGCACGTGTCCCCAAGACACTGAGTCACGTCTGATACTCAAACCTCTGCCAATGGTGTGGTGCATGGGAAGGTTTCTTGTGGCATCTCTCCTCTCCTGTACCTGGAATTATTCCTCAAATGCTGAAAGTAAAAGGCACATGGGAAGTGGGAAGACATATGCACATGGTCAATCCTGCCTATTTCTACTGAGCTGGCCCGGCAGGGAAATTGGGTTAGGTGTCTGAGCAGGTGGTGATTCATCAAGGACCCTTGCACAGCCAGAGGCCCTGGAGGTTGCTCTGCCATTTCTATGTACCTGGTTTTGGTAAGATGCAAACAGGACCTTGAACAGTGCCTTAGGTTTGTAGAGAAGCACCTCCTAGCAAATAAGGCAGCTCAACAACATTTTGAATGAGCGAATGAATGAATGGATATGAATGAGAGAGTGAGCTTGTCATTGAATTGCGAAACAGAGAACTTCAATTGTGGACAACCCATGAGAAAGCTTTAGGCTTCATTTGTCAGACCTTTATTCTTCTAAACAAAGTTCAGGCCTTTGCCTGTTCCACTCTGTTAACCACAGCAGCCCAAAGTTCTTCCATAACTAATCCGAGCCTGTGATTGCTTTGCTCTGCTCTGGGAGCTCTTATAATCCCTTTTCCTCCTAAGAAGCCAGGGATTGCGTGAGGACGATGGAGCGGGGCAGCAGCCACTTGGAGGACTTCGCTCTGAACGTGTTTTCGGTCACTCCTTACACACCCAGTACCTCGGACATCCAGGTGTCCGATGATGACAAGGCGGGGACCACCTTACTCTTCTCAGGCATCTTCCTGGGACTGGTGGGGATCACGTTCACCATCATGGGCTGGATCAAATACCAAGGGGTCTCCCACTTTGAATGGACCCAGCTCCTTGGGCCCATTCTGCTGTCGGTTGGGGTGACATTCATCCTGATTGCTGTGTGCAAGTTCAAAATGCTTTCCTGTCAGTCGTGCAAAGAAAGTGAGGAAAGGGTCCTCGACTCGGAGCTGACGGCGGGCGGACAATCGTTTGTTTTCACTGGTATCAACCAACCCATCACCTTCCATGGGGCTACTGTGGTGCAGTATATCCCGCCCCCTTATGGCTCTCAAGAGCCCATTGGGATGAACACCACCTACCTGCAGCCAGTGGTGAACCCCTGTTGTCTCACACCATCTGGAGTGGTGGCTGCTGCCACGCCAAGCCCTCCCCAGTACCACACCATCTACCCTGCAGAGAACGCTGCCTTTGTTGCCGACCAGGACTACCCTTCCTCCATGGATGGTGGAAATGACAGGTACGGTGTATGTGGTGGCAATCCTCCCCTTCCTACGGCCACAGTCATAGTGCCTGTGGCTATGTCTACAAGGAAGGTGGTGGGTGAATGCAAACCTCTGTGCAGCCTAATGCCAGGTGGGGGGTGTTGGCTCTGGCAGCAGTGCTGTGGGCTGTAACGCGTCTGTGTTTTCTGCTCATATTTCAGGTCCAGCCCTGACGCTGAGCAGCTAGAAGAGATACAGCAGGGGGATGGGGACCCTGCCTGCTTCTCTCCTCCACCCTATGAGGAAGTATTCTCCCCCCCTTGCTAGAGACTGCAGTGCCGAGGGAATGGCATTGAGGTCATTGTTGCTGACACCTGAAGGGCTCTATGTACAGCCTTCAGAAGTGAGACAGCAGAGCAGCCCAGGAGGCCTGAGAGATGCCGTTCAAGGGGAGGTGGGAGGTAAAATGTCCCAAATTGGTAAAAATTAGGCTGGGCTGAAGAAATTACCTTCTGATCCAGCTAAAAATGCCCCGCTGTGTTCAGAAACAGGAATCTCACCCATCTATCCATCACCCACTCTGTTCCTCCAGGAAGGTGCTGCTGTTGCAATTTTAACTCCAGCAGCCAAGGGCAAAATCACTACTGCTGTGACTTTGGAAGTTTCCATAGTAGGGAGAGTGGGGGTGGGGAGGAAGCAGGGAAGAGAAAACAGGTTCCACTGCAGCTTTCCCGGTGCCCATTCTCAGTTCCCAAAGTAGATTTGCATATCCCAATCAACTCAGTTGCTGACATGTGGCCCCTGAGGACTCTGGGTATCTTAAAGGCTGCATAAACAGACCAACAAATGAGCAAATAAATAAATACAATAAAGTAAAGTCAAGAATAGCTCCTGTTGGAATGTTAGGTGGCTAAACCATACAAAATAAATAATAATAGGACAATGATGTCACCAAACCCTTAAGTTATCATTAGGTGACAGTGACTTGACTGCTGATGTTCTTGTTCTTGTTGGCAAGGCTGAAGCTTGAGTTGTCCGCCCCGGGCGGACATCTGGGCTGGGCGCAAACTGCCTGGGCCCAGAGGCCCACACAAGCCTGGGGCTTCTCCAAGCGCCCGTAGAAGAGTCCTGTTGAATCAGACAGAACAGACCTGCCATGTGAACACCTGGGAACCACGAATCACAGAAACAATCTCCATGGCCAAGACAAGCTCACTTTCTTTATTAAAAAACAAACAGGCAAGAAACCTTGGTGCCCTTCATTTCCCTGAATCTGGACTGTATAACACCCATTCACAGCAGACTTACAGATTTTGGAAGACACAGTTAAAATCATCAGGTTTTAAAGGAAAATAGTCTCTGTAGGGTACAATGGCAAGGTCACACAAGGCTACTGAGGGAGGCTTACCCAAAGCGAGACAGGGTTTAGCAATTCCTTAAAGGTTTGGTACCATGTTTATATATGCAGTGACTTCTATTAATTTTTATTAGAAATATCTAGTTTTCCAAGGATATGATTAACACATGCTTGGTATATTACTGTGATTTGTCTTGTACCTCAGGAACAAAATCTTTTCACACAAGAATTCATTTTCATGTTTGACGGTGGAAGTAGTGAGATGGAAAAATAGAATTCAGTTCACAGAAACTACCTTCATACTCAACATATTCATGAAATGCTGGATTCCTAGCTGGGGGCCATTGGCTCTGGGCAGGAAGTTGGGTGACAGGCACAAGTTGAGCATTGCCAGTGGCATGCCACCAGCAGGACACGTGGAGCCCTGCACGCCTGCCTCCCTCACCCCTTTCCCTCCTCATCCTCACCCACCCACCCACGTAGCACTTTATATCCCTGGGCTTGGTTTTGGCATGAAGGGATGCTCAAGGTGGAAATGATGTTAGGAAAGGGTGCCTCCGTGTGGAAGCTGGGAGGACAGGAGAGCCAATCTGTCTGCGGGATGCCAGGGGTCCCATAGACAAGAAGTGCCCTGGGGAGTTTTTAGCTCCAGGCAGTGGCAATGAACTGCCCCTGTTCTAAGACAGTGAAAAAGTGCTAACCATAGGGGTAACTGATGCTTTTGAAGACAGCGCAGTCAGAGCTAACAGCTCTGGAGCTCAAGGTGGAAGGTGAGCCTGCCACAATCAGAGGGTTGGAAGATGGGGATTTGTTCATTCAGCCAATATTTATTGACTGAGCATCTACTTTGTGTCAGGACTGGGACATCAAGTGGGGATGGAGCAGTGAAAAACCAAAGCAACAGAAGAGCAGATACGGCTCTGTCCTTGCAGAGCTTCTGGCCTAGTGTGGGCAACAGACATTGATCGATTATTCTCTGACACCAGTGAGGGGTCCTGGGGCTATAGAGGGATTTAAACTAGTCAGGAGAGTCACAGCAGTTTGGCCCTTGCAATGCATATCCCCAGGGAGCACAGCTTATGTGCATAGCCAAGCAACTAGTGTGCTCGGCTCTGAGGACTGTCCCGGGAACAGAAGAGCCAATACCTATACGAAGAGAAGGAGGGGGACACCTGGCAAATCCCCTGAGTGGGAGACAGTATCAGGAGGTGGCTTGCAGGTCGTGTGAATGGTTAATTTGTCACTGCTGCTACAGTCCTCACAAAGACCCGCCTTTCAGTGCCCAGCAAACTGCACCCACCCACTCTCCTGCGTCAGGACAATCCCACACTGCTCACTGTCCTTATTTTGGAGTGGCAAGGACCAGCATGACAGGAAGCCCACTGAGTGGTCCCCGAACTCTGACAGTAGGTCTCTGCTTGGTCTCTTTGACCAGTGAGGACACATTCTTGGCAGAGTTTCTGGTTTGTTGTCTGGACATTTGCCATCCTCCCTCTCTCTCCCTCTCCTTCCCTCTTTCTCCCTTTTGTTACAGAAACCCCTCCCCGGGGGGGGGTGTCTTTTTTTACTTTATGGTTCTTTATGTCTGCCACTGTATTAAGAACTGTGGCTCTCAATGCCAGAGTTTGGAAAAAAGAAAGGAACTATTTAATTAAGAGTTATATGGGTTTAGAATAATGGTGGAATTCTGCTGTTAAATCTCACTCCCTTTATAAATGAAGATACACCCACAGACACACACAGTCCTGCTCACCCACCTGCCTACTGTGTGCAGCCAGGCCAGTCTCAGAACACACCAGTCAGAAGTCCCGCCTCCCAGAAGAAAAAAAACAGAAGCCTGCGGCTCCCTTCTTCTGGTTCCTCCCAGTAACCCATGCTTTGCTGGGCAGGTCCTCTGAGGTTCCTAGCACCATCAGCTGTGTCGCCGGGAGCTCCAGTTCTTAATCCAAAACCATGTGGCACCTTCTCATGGTCCATCAGTGAGAGTCCTTTCACCGCCTCTTTACCTGCATGCCCTGGCATTGTCCCACATTGCCTCTGTCCCACCTTGTGGCCTGCCTCTGTAACCCTATTTCCGACTCCTCCCACAATTGGCTACACCTGCCAACACACCTGTATTTTTCAGCCTTTCTTGGCTGCCATACTTGCTCCAGGCAGGCGTAGCCCCACCACGCAGAAGCCACCTCCAAGCTGCTCTTGCAGGAGCAGGAAGCACCTCACCCCACACACTGCCCCACAGGCTAGTCACGCCCATCTCCCTGGCTCCATGCAGGCCCAGGTTTTAATGTTATTAAAACACATTGGCCAAGGTACCCCATTATACTCTCTCAGCATCTTACTGGGATGAATGGAGAACTGTGACCTGGGATCATGAACTGGAGCTGGTCTGGCTGGCCGTGCTATCCACCCTGAGATAATTGGTGTAGGAGGTAGCCTACCTTTGCTGCTGTGCTCAAAGGCTCAGTGTCCAGGCCAGAGCCCACAGGGCCATCAGCCTTGTCAGACACTTTGGTACGTGTTTGCAGAGCAAGTGGGGAGCCATTACAATGTTTTAATAATACCTGTGACCTGATTCTGAACACTCACTGTTAGGGTGAGCCCCAGAGGCACATAGGATGTAATGCTGATCTTGCTGGCAAAGCTCAGATCTAAGTGACCAGAAAACCAGGAGATGTCCCTCTCCTCCACCTTGGTCATCCCAGGGCTGTGTGGGCAGGCACGTTCTAGTGCGCTACGTGGAATTCAAAATAAAGCTAGAAGATTTTGTTAATCCACGGAGACAGGTCTCTTAAGAACCTGAGGCTATCTGGAAATGTCCCTGTGAACCCCTTCAGGCTCCTTTTGGTTGGAAAGACTGAAGACAGCTGACAGCCTTGATGGGACAGGGAAGGGTCATCCAGGCCTGGGAAGTGAGGCCCAGACACCAGGGGGGTGAAGCTTTCACAAAGCTCTTGGGGCTTCTTTCTCCCTCTCCTCCGACTGAGGGGCCCATCTCCTGTGCAAGGTGGACCCGCCCTCACTCCCTTGGGCAGAGCTCTGGGCGGTGTCTTTCAGGGGCAGAGAGCTTCCCGGAGACTGCGGTGGCCTTCTCTTTTGCTCCTCTGAGCCAGGCCCTAAATTTCAAATGCACCCAGGGGCTCTCGGCTACAGAGCCAGGCCTTCAAATGCTCCTCCTACATTTTTTGGGCTGGGGGTGGGGGGCGCGTTGGAATACAATATAAAAATAAAGCCTCTTGTTTGTGAAGAGCTGGCTGTGGTGTCTGTTTACTGTTAGATCAGTGGAGTAGGGTTGCCGTGAAGCCCCACACCCCTGGGCAGCTAGTGTTTCTCCTCCAAACAGAAACTCCTCACACTGACTGTGGGGCAGATGCCTTCTTACCAGCTGGGAGAAGAGAGGTCCCTGCACACCTCACGGAGGCAACTGTGGCCTCGTGCCCAGCAGTGTCCCTGTCCGTCCTGGGGTAACCAGGGCGCCGCGTGCAGCTCCCACCACTCAGCAGTCACGGAAGGCCTCATCCAGGGCCCTTTGCACAGCCTGCGCTCTCGGTTCCTGTTGAATAACAAATGTGAAGTGAAGAAATGAAGAACTTTTCAAATAGCTAATAACCATTCTAGCTCCACTTAGCTGTTTCATTGCTTTCTACATGATGAAAAATTTCAAATAAAGACAGGAGTAGAAAGAAAAGTAAATAAAACCCTATGTAGCAATCACCGAACCTCAACTCACAGCCAACCTTGTTTCATTTATGCTCCACCTACACTGCCCCAACTGGAGTTTTAAAAAGCAAATCCAAAGCATCGAGTCATTTCACCTTAAATATTTCATTGTGTAGTTTCAAAAGATAAAGGCTAAAAATATATATACCACCATTACTGCACCTTAAAAATGTATAATTTCCTAATGTCATTAAATATCTAATCACTGTTTAACTTTCCCCAATGTTCTATTTTTTATTTTATTTTTACCTCTGTTTTGTTTGAATTGGGATCCAAATGAGATTAGCTTCTTGCTAAATGCATCCTAAGCTTTTAGCTCTCGTATACTGTATTTTGGGAGGCAGACAATGGGCATGTTATTCATGGTAGCAGATTTATATTTATTAAGTTTCACTTTCCAAACAAAAATGTTTTTCAAGATTTTTCACTCCATATCTACTTCTCTTTTGAATCTCTGAAACTCTTGGTATGCTTTGGAATTGGAAACTTATTTTTTTCTACTTTTAATATATTATTAGAGATCTTTCTAAACACGGGCCTAGAAAAAACTGCACATAAAAAGTAAAAGATCTTTAAGTGAGTGTTCAGTTGAGGAATATCTGTTGCAGATTAGTTTCAAAAGTATCAGAAAACGCTGACAACCTTTAACATTTTTGGCTTGGTCACTAACACTTTTTAGGAAAAAAAAGTTTTTTCCTTTGGAGACCACAAAAACTCCTTTGAACATTTCTAAATTGGGAACTCGAGTCTCCACCTTAAGAAATAAAGGGCAAAGCCTCTTGCTCTATATTAAAGTATTACCTGGTACAATTT